TGCTTTTGTTTTTATTTTTTGATGAACATACATTTAAATATCAATGAAATTTCAAGAGAGACTTAGTTGCTTAGTTTTAGAGTAATCCCAATAACCAGTTTTGAATTTAGGTTTGCAAATGGCCAAAATTAATTATTTGGACAATACTAAATCCAGGTCTTTATTGATACTAAATATGTGCTCATTTCAATTAAAAAAAAAACACAAGTATTGGTTTCTTACCCCACAGGAGATTAGAGTCAGAAAATTACAAGAAAGGCTTAAAAAGGCAGATTAATAACAAGAATAATAACTAACATTTATGAGTTATTACAGCTAGCACTTATATAGTGCTGTAAGATTTGCAAATTGTTCCACAAATATTGTCTCATCTTCACAATAACTCTGAGAGGTAGGCGCCAGTTTCCATGCTAGGCTTATAGGAAATAAAGTCAAAAATGAAGCAGTCTTTAGCCTCATGGAGCTTGCCTACTATATTAAGGTTTACATATGAATGGCACTTTGAAGAATGCCAGGCGACTCATTGTCATCCACCTCCAAATATTGTCAATGGGCAATACACACGAGCTACTCAAGAATTTTTTTTTACTTACAGATAATCAGTGAGATATTCATGGGATAAAACATAATCACTTATTGGAAATGAATTCATCCATTGTAGTACTAAGAATTAAAAAATACTCTTGACTCAGAGAATGATAGATTCTCCAAAGGAGGAGAGGAAGGAGGGACTAAGCATTTATCTCTGTGCTAAGCACTTTACAAATGTTATCTCATTTGGTCCTCATAACAGCCCTGCAAGGTAGCTGCTGTTATTATCCCCATTTAACAGTTGAGGAAATCAAGGTAGAGGGAGGTTAAGTGACTTGCTTAGGGTCACACAGTTAGTAAGTTTCTGAAGTTGGATTTCAACTCTATTCTTCCTAATTCCAGGCCCACCACTCTATCCACTGTGTCATGTAGCTGTAAAAGATGAAATTTGTAATGCTAGAGATGTTAAACCTGTAATCCTTTAGTTGCCTTTTCTTGTTCCTCATTCTACATGACCTCTTTGAAGCTATTGACATTATTGATCAACTTCTCTTCCTTGATACTTTCTTCTCTCTAATTTTCAGGACATCACTCTCTCCTGGTTCTCCTCCTACCTATCTGACCAATCTTTCTTTGGCTTCATCTTCATCTAGATCATGTCTTCTTTTTTTTCCTATCACAATTTTAAAAATTATATTTAGATATTACAAAAAAACAAAGGACAAAATCCACCCCTTTAAAGCACACAGTGCAAAATGGAAGCACCTCATTGTTTCAAAGGTGCAAAATCAAAAAATGTGTAAGCACAATAAATGTACTCAAAATTATTTTAAATAATATTTCCTGCTATATTGTATTTAAATGATACATAAATCAGGTTATAGCAGATTTGAGAGAGGAAGAAATCAGTTTTTTATTACAACTTTAACTATAAATAAATGAGGAATTTTGTTCTGGTACCTTTTGAAAGTTCTTCAATATCTATGTCTTCTGTTCTTTTCTTTTTGGAGAAACATTGCATTGTAAGGCTGCCACCTTAGGTCATATCTTCTAACCACAGGAACAGCTGTAGGTGTCCCTCAGGGTTCTGTCCTGTCTGTTCTGACTTCTTTCTCCTTCTACACTACTTTATCTGGTGATCATCTCAGTTCCCACGGACTTAATTGCAATGTTTTATTAATTTATTTTTAGTTTTCAACAATCACTTCCATAAGCTTTTAAGTTTTAAATTTTTCTCCTCCTCTCTCCCCCACTCCCTCCTCAAGATGGTGCACAATTTGATACAGGCTCTACATTTACATTCCTATTAAACATATTTTCACATTCGTGATGCTGTAAAGAACAATTAGAACCAATAGGAGGAACCACCAGAAAGAGGAAACAAAACAAAACAGAATAAAAAAAATAGAAAATAGTGTGCTTTGATCTGCATTCAAACTCCATAGTTTTTTCTTTGCATGTGGATAGTGTTTTCCATCATGAGACCTTTGAAGATGTCATAGATGCTTGCATTGGGGAGAAGAGCTAAGTCTAGCAAAGCTAGTCATCACACAACATGGCTGTTACTGTGTACAATGTTCTCCTGGTTCTGCTCACTTCATTCAGCATCAGTCCATACAAGTCTTTCCAGGTTTTTCTTAAGTCTGCCTGCTCATCATTTCTTATAGCACAATAGTATTCCATTACATTCATAACACAACTTGTTCAGCCATTCCCCAATTGATGGGCATCCCCTCTATTTCCAATTCTTTGCGCCCACAGAAAGAGCTGCTATAAATTTTTTTGTACATGTGGGTCCTTTGGGATCTCTTTGGGATACAGCCCTAGAAGTTGTATTTCTGGGTCAAAGGGTATGCACATTTTTATAGCCCTTTGGGCATAGTTCCAAATTGCTCTCCAAAATGGTTGGATCAGTTCATAACTCTACCAACAATGCATTAGTGTTCCAATTTTCCCACATCTTCTCCAGCATTCATCATTTTCCTGTTTTGTCATGTTGGCCAATCTGATAGGTGTGATGTGGTACCTCAGAGTTGTTTTGATTAGCATTTCTCTAGTAAATAGTGATTTAGAGCATTTTTCATATGACTATAGATGACTTTAATTTCTTCATCTGAGAACTGCCTGTTCATGTTCTTTAACCATTGACAATTGGGGAAGACTGTAAACTTCTTGAGGGCAGAGACTGTCTTTTGCCTTCTCTTGTATCCCCAGGGCTTAGCATAGTACTTGAAACATAGTAGGTGCTTAATAAAATGTATATTGATTGATTGACTTAATTAGTTGCCTTTTGCCCTAAATGTTTTAAGCCAAAATGGTCTACTAGCTATTCCTCATACAAGACATTATATCTTTCTGTGCTATTGTACAAGGTTGTATTCTCTTTCTATCTTCACCTCTTGGAATCCTTATCATCCTTCAAAGCACAGCTCCAGTACCACTTGCTACATGAGACCTTTCCTGATTGCTCATGTTTTAGTGTGCCCTACCTCTTGAAATTATTTTGTATTTCTTTGTTATTTACTCACTTGTGTCCCACTTGACCCCTACCAGTAGAAAGTAAGCTGTCTAAAGACAAGAGCTGGTTCCTTTAAATTTTTGCATCCCTTATACCTACCTCAGAACCTTGTTACACTGAACTGAATGGAAATCTAGCTGTTGACTATTCTAGAGGTAAGGACTTGGAACAAATTACCTCTTCATGTTCTTTCTAACTCTGACCTGTAAGCATTTTCCTCAGATACAAAAGGAGTCTGTTTCTATAATAAAATATATAATAGTTAATAACACCAAAATTTTATGTTATCAGGTAGTGAATATTCAGCAGTAAAGGAAATTCTAAATAATAATTAAAAGATAATAACTTCATAAAGTTTCAGTTCTCAATTTACAATATCTATCCTGCCTATCTTTCCCTTCTAATACATTCTCTAATCTAGGCCCTCACCACCCACCAAACTTGAACTATTTAATTGGCTTCCTAGCTGGTCTCCCTGATTGTAGCCTTCCCTACCACCAAATATCATTAATGTAGCCTAAATACCACTTCCATAATATCACCCCCTTGGCTAAAATATCTATTGTTTATTGCCTTAGATCTAAATACGTAAGCCTGGCTTCCATTGTCCTTGTAACCTGGCTCCATCCTATTCATAGAACCAGTGCAAACCCTCCATTTTACTCAGGCAGCTCTTCTCTCTCAAAACCCATGCTCATTCTTACCTTTGTGGTTTGGATCATGCTGTTCCCACCACCTGGAAGGAGGTAGCTAAGTGGTGCAGTGGATAAAGTATTAAGCCTCAGGAAGACCTGAGTTCAAGTCTCATGTGACACTGTGTGACCCTATCATTTAAGTCACTTTATTTCTTTCTGCTTTGGTTTCTTCATCTGTAATAATAATACCTACCTCCCAGGGTTGTCATGAGCATCAAATGAGATATCTGTAAAGCGCCTGGCATGTTTTTGTTATTGTTCAGTTGTTAAGTCATATCCAACTCTTCATGATACCATTTGGGACTTTCTTGGCAAAGATACTGGAGTGGTTTGCATTTCCTTCTCCAGCTCATTTTGTGAATGAAAGCTATCACCAAAAAAATGAAGAAGGAAAAGACTAGAGCCCTGAGAGACCTAGAAGGAAAAGACCTAGAGCTCTATGGTACCATAGAGGAAAAACCTCTGTTTCTTGGGTGGTAGCAGTTTTAAACATTTTAATCTTAATATTCCTAGTTGTTGCAATATAGTCCAACTCAATGGGATTGATTAGATGCTAAAATTGTTTGATAAGTCTAATATTGTACTGTATGTGCCACATTGAGGGCAGTGCAAAAGCATATGATAAGTTTTCAATAAATGTTGATGATTATGTGATTGATTGGAGCTTAGAATTTTTATTTATCCATGTGCCATGGATCATTATGAAGAATATGCAAATAGTAACCAACAGATTTGCAGCAACAACATTATGGAACTGGGGATTGAGTTTTATGTGCTGGCCATCTAGAATTTGATTTCACAACCAGAGGAATTGACACTAGTGTTATTTAAATTGCAAAAAGATTAACATGATTTAGCATGTGAAAAATTTAGAAATACAACACCTACCAGTACTTATTACCCTCCTAAAACCCAGATAAAACCTGTAAATTTGACGCTTTGGTTATACCTTTGTTCCATAAGTCAAGTAATGTTTTGTGCAGAGTGTATTTTTCCCAGATGATTTTATAGCCATTTTCTACTTTCAAAATGAACCTCATTTTCATCTCAAACCACATGCCCAGTAAATTAACCGACTATTTGTTTAATATAGTCACTAACATGAATAATGTCACTCCTTTGGTTATTAGGTAGTGGCAAAAGATCAATATAACTATCTATGGTTTCCAAAATGGCTCTTCTGTTTCCTGGAGTAAATACATTTCCTTGTTACTACTAAAAGGAATTGATATTAAATTGTAATGTAAATTTTGCAGATGAAGGAAAATCTCCGTCTTGGTCTCAGCTGGAAGAGAATACTGCTGCTCTGGAAAGAAATGATTTTAATGCCAGCTTCTCTACTGCATCTATTTGCTGCATTGGGTGCACTGCAGTAAAGCTGTACAGAGTAGAACTCGCCCATCATTCGCTCGGCAGTTTTGTAGTACAAATGTATACCCTTCCATTCTTATGATTGCTAATGAAGAAGAATTATAAAAATTAGACAGATTAACTGTGCCTTTGCTTTTGTTGATGTGTTGAATATGATTCTGTAAAACACTATTACATGAAATAGAATATAATGTTTTGAAAGAAATTAATTTTAAGGAAGCATGTTATTTTATGTAACCCTCTTCAGGAAACAAATGTTATGGTTAGTTCTTGATTGTCTTTCCCGATAAATCAAACAAAAGATTCCAGATTTGTATCTATATCTCTATCAGCTTTGGAAGGTATTTGTGTACTGATGCTTGAATGAAGGTGTATCCAACCGTCTGGAGTTCGATACCAGTGATTGTAAAACCTAAAAGCTGAAGGTGACCTCAGAGGCCACATAGTCTAGCTCATCCCTGAACAAAAATTCCTTGAACAACATCCCCCGAAAGTGGTCATCCATACTACTTGAAGATCTCCAACAAGGAAAAAATAACTACTTCCTGCTTTTGGAAAGTTCTAATTATTGGGAAGTTTTGGGGTTTTTTTCCCCTTACATTGATTCTAAATCTTTCTCCACCTTCTACCCATCATTGCTCCTATTTCTGCCCTCTGGGATCAGACTTAAGAAGTATTATTCTTCTTTTAAATGAAATCTTCCAAATACTTGAAGAAAGCTATCATATGTCCCCTAAGTGTTTTCTCCACTCTAAACACACCCATTTCCTTCATCCAATTCTACCATAGTATATACTCCAATTCTCTCTTAGTTGACCTGTTATAGATATACTCCCAGTTGATTGTGTGGGATAACCAGAACAAAACATGATACTCCACTTGTGACCTAAACAAATATTGCCACAAAAGGAATTGCCACAACAAAAAAAATATTGCCTTCCTCATTCTGAACACTATCTCTTTCTCAATGAAACTTAGGACAGTATTAGCTTTTTTTTTTTTAATTGCCACATCACATAGTTGGCATTCATTGAGGTTGCAATTTACTAAAACCCCTTTTCACATGAAATTTTGCCTAGTCATGCCTCCCTGTCATGTATTTGTGAAGTTGACTTTTTGGACTTTAGCATACAACTTCACATCTATCTAAGTTAAATCCCATGTAGCTTGACTCAACTCATTATTCTAGTTGCTGAGATTTTTCTAGATCCAGACTTTGCCTCTAGGCAAATTAGATATACTTTGTGTTTTCTGCCTGTAGCAGCCTTAGGTTGGGGTACCCAAAGGATTCATCATTATCTTCTCAGGGCTCTAGGGGTAACTTTGAAGGATTGTGACTTCTAGCACTTTAACTCCTGAGGCCCCATTTGATGTGCTTCCCATTATCCATCAACCAGTTGAACTTCATTAGAATTTGGAAAAGAGGTTTACTGAGAAGGTATAGCAAGAAGAGTTGAAACAAAATATTCCCCCACACTCCTTTGCACACACAAGATCCCTAAGGAGAATGGGTTCAAAATTAAAATGCCATTTTAATGAGTCACAGTTGCATATGTGGTAAAGGGGGATCTTCCAACTTTTGGCCCTGGGAGGAGCCTTCCTCCCTTCCGGGAATTTTCATGAAATTCTTCTAGGTAGCTCTCTGCTGGACTGCAAGAATCAGTGCCTTTCTTAATCTATAGCCAGTACTTCTCTTAATCAGGAGTTATAGTCCCTAACTATTGCTGCTATTGTCCTCCAGTGACAGTCTTTCTTCATCTTTTTGTAGATACTTCCTCTATTATCAACTATACTTCTCTAGCAACCACTACTACCTCCTCCTGTCACTGGTGGGGCGGTCTTTCCACATCTGTCTGTAGTGTTTCCTCTGCCATAAACCAAAGCCGTTGGTGACCACTGATACCAGCTCCAACAACTTTGAAACTAATTCAGTTTGCTGGTGAGAACTCTTGAGGGACCTCTTGATTTTCTGAACTCTCACCAGGTTGTTTAAGCACGTCCATCTTAAAATACTCATTTACCTAAGGTCAGGAAAGAATAAACGCATGCACAAAAGCAGCAATATGTGCTCATGGGCACAGAGTGGTAAGATGGAGAAGTGTGGCCAACTGCACCTTCCCCATCTGGTAGATCAAAGTAGTCCTCCTAACTCTAAGACACCAAGAAAGAAAAGGGGCCAATAGAAATAGATCACTACTTATGTATGCATATTCCATTCCTGCCTAGCAACTCCTAAGTCTGCAGGCCTTCCAACAACTCAGCTAATAAGAATACTTTTTGTCATCACAAAATACCAGCCCCTTCGTCACAAAAGTCTGGACATGGACTTTCAAAAGTCCACAAGTTGGATTGGAGCCAAGTAGAGAATATCTGTGCATGCCTAGTAGGAAGGACAAATCAGAACATGTTCCCTCTGTTACATGAAAATTTGAAAAGCATAGCTTCTATGCTTTCGCTCTAGTTATTTGGTAAACACATTAAATAGCACAGATCCCTGATTAATGTGTGTTTATGAGAAAGGGACATACAGACAGAAAATGAGTCAGAGACAAGAAGAGAAGGAGAAGGAGAAGAGAGAGGTAAGAAAGGCAATAAGTGCTACTGGAGTGAAGAAAAGAAGAGATCTCTATCACTGTAGATGAGATTGAGGAAGGCTTCACTGAGTGGGTGGCACTTGATCTTGGCTTTAAAGATTCTTTTTAAAGAGAGCTTTAAATAACAAAGTTTCCTACATTCCTACTCTGTGTTAAAAGCCAGAAATGGAACTTATCTCAGAACAAAACATTGTTCTATCTCTCTTGGCTCTTAAAGCAGAGGACTTGAGTTCAAATCTCATCACTGTCATAGTACCTCTGGGACCTTGGACCAAGGTCTTTCTGGGCTTTAATTTTCTTGTCTGAAAAATGAAGGGATTGAACTAGATAGAAGGCCTCTAATGTCCTGTCCAGCTCCAAATCTGTGATCACTATGACTCATACCTGTTTCCTTTTGTGTATTAGAGGAATCATATGAGTGTTTCAAGGTCATTGTTACATGTAGTGGCTTCATTTCTCCCATCTCTTAAACCCCATTCTTTCTTTTTTCTTTGAAGGGATAAAGGCTTCAGGCATAAGTTAGTACAAAAAAAAGTAAGAAGTTAGTGATTGGAGAAGAAAATACTTCTTGGTGAAAATCCACAAAGTAATGCTTCAAGTCAGGATAAAGAATAGTTAAGTAGGGATGTTGATTGTGAACAAAGAACGAAATGGCTTTATCCATAATTTATTTCCACCACCCCCTACTCCCAAGAAGAAGAGATCATAAATCCCAAAACTTTTTGTGAATGTTTGTATTAAAACAGGAAAGACTTTGAAATATAGATATAATATACACTAATGTGTTTTGGTGGGACCATGAATTGGTCTAATCATTCTGGAAAGCGGCTTAGAACTATTCCCCTCTACCTCCCCCCCAAAAAATCACTAAACTGTACTACCTTTTAACTCAGTGATACTATTTTTAGAGAATAAAGAAAAAGGAAATTCTATGAACTATAATCTTTTTTTAGTAAGAAAAAAAAACTAAAAGGATGCCCACCTATTGATGAGTGGCTAAATCAACTATGGTATATGAATATAATGAAATATTGTTGCAATATAAAAATGACCAAAAAAATAGTTTCCAAGGTAACTGGGAAGTCAGAGAATCAACAAACATTTATTAAACATTTACTATGGGCCAAACTAAGTGCTGGAGATAAAAAGAAAGATAAAAGACAATCCTTGCTTTCAGGGAGCTTACCATCTAATAGGGGAAATAACATGCAAATAACTATGTACAAACAAAATATGTACGAGATAAATTAGAGATAACCAATAAAGGGGCTGCTAGGTGTCACAGTGAATAGAGTGCTGGGCCTGGAGTCAAGAAAATTCATCTTGCTGATTCAAATCTGTTCTCAGACACTTACTAGCTGTGTGACCCCGGGCACTCAGTTTTCTCATCTGTAAAATGAGCTGGAGAACAAAATGGCACCCCAAATGAAGTCACGTGGAGTCAGTCAGGACTGAAATGATTAAACAACAACAGAGGGAAGGCACTAACATTAATGGGAATTATGCAAGACTTCTTGCAGAAAGTGGGATTTTAGCTGAAACTCAAAGGCAGTGAAGCTAAGAGGTGGTGATAAGGAAGAAGAATATTCTAAGAATGGGGGACAGGACTGAAAATGACATAAGTCAGTAAGTAGAATGCTTAGTTCAAGGAATGGCAAAGAAGCCATTGCCATTAGATCGTAGAACATATGGAGGAGGGAGAAAGAAGATGTAAGAATAAAAAGATGGGGAGAGAATAGGTTATAAAGTGATATAAAAAGGCAAATAGGATTTTAAATTTGATGCTGGAAACAATAGAGAGACATTGCTATTGATTGAAAATGGGATGTAAAATGGTCAAATTTGCACTTTAGGAAAATCAATTTGAAAGGTGAATGGAGGAAGGACTGGAGGGCAAAGAGACTTGAGGCAGGAAGATGAACTAGAAGACTATTACATTAATTCAGGCATAAGGTGATAAAAACTTGAACCAGATTAGTGGCAGTCTCAGAGGAGAGAAGGAAATGTATACAAGAGGAATTGTGAAGGTAAAAATAAATAGAAATTGGCAACAGACTGGATATTGAGGTTGAAAGAGAATAAAGTGTCAAGGATGCCACCTAGGTTGTGAAACCTAAGTGAACCATGGGAGGTTATGAGCCTGTGGATAGTGGTACTCTCTATAGTAATATGAAAATTAAGAAGATGTGAGGGTTTAGGCCTGCAGGGGTGGGAAACCTGTGACCTTGAGGCCACATGTGGCCCTCTAAGTCCTCAAGAACAAATTTGTTCTGTGAGGTTTGGATTCAGTTCAAAGGCTACACTTGGGGACCTAGAGGGCCACATGAGGCCTCAAGGGCACAGATTGACCACCCCTGGAATGATAGACTTTGATTTTAGACATCTTGAGTTTAAGATGTCTATGAGATATCCAGTTTAAAATGTCCAATAGACACTTGCATATACAAGACTAGAGGTCAGGAGAGAGGTTAGGGCTTGACAAATAAATCTGAGAATCATCTATATAGAAGTGATAGTTGAAATTACGG